AGGATCAGTCAGAGGCCATCTGGCTAAGTCTCCTATAAAATAGACATGTTCATAATGCACACCTCAGTCTTACATCCTTTCCTGTATGCTGTCCTCACACTAGAGGGCGCTGACTTTCATATGTGCTCAGCTTCAGCTTGTAGTGGAATCGACTTCTCCTCCACAAGGGTTCCTGTTTTCCCACAACTTAATAACCGGGTGGGGGTGGTATCTGTCTTTTCAGACTTCATTTGTTCTTTGGGGGGAAGGAGACATCTTTCTCAGAGCATTTATGTTACATGTTGTATATAAACAGCTCAGGGGACATGATTCTCACTAGACAAATAGGTAAAGGTCTATAAATTGCCATAGAGAAACTCACTAACTTCCTGTCATTTTTGAAGGAGAAAGCAAAATATCATCAATAATTAATTTAGCAAATAACAGCATCACTTTACTATTTGATCCCTTTGGGCACTGCTAGAGTAGAGTAGAGTGTGGTAGTATGGTAGAGTGTGGTAGTAGAAGGCAGGACATGCTCACTCAATCTCATAGTTATAAAATATTTACTCCTTAGATAGGGTATTTACCAGAGGAAGGGAATATTGCCCAAGCTACTTCCTGAGGATATATTTTCATTATTTCCACTTTTATCTTTCTTGACGTGTCAAATTCTAAAGAACTTGTGAGCCTTGCTGAAGAACAAATTGGTTTCTGAAAATCGTTCGGTTGAACTTGGGTACATCAAATTACTATGAGGAGAACTGGCTGCTTAAGAAACAACTTAGCAAATTACTTCATAAAGTGAAGTTTTCTTTTATTACTCCTTACATCCAGTTAAGAATATGCCACAATGTTTGCATATTTTCTCCCTTTTGGTCACTCACAAGTCCAAAGAGTTTTGCAGAGAAAACACGAGGCCTTAAGGGTACTTTTCAAAAGATTTCTGCAAATAATTTTAAATATCCATAAAATGAGGAGGAAAAGAAACTGTAGAATTCGACCACGACATTGTCCTACCTAAGATGTCCTGTGAACTCCTCTTGCCTCCACGGTGGTTCTCAGGCCCAGGCCACTTGAAGGACTGGCTCAGTCACAGTGTTTGAAGGTAACGTCCCCGTGGAAGGCAGTATGTGTAAAAATACAGGAGTTGAGAGGAGCCTTGGAGAATACCCAGAGGAGTGTGTGTTTCATAATGTTCAGCTTCGCATGGCCTACTGGATTCCACTGACTCATGCAACACACCCTAGGCCATCTCGAAGAGAAAGCCTTTTGGTCCTACACTGCTCTAGATGAAGACATAAGATAAAACCTTTAATTCTTTAGATCAGAATGTAATACCCTCCTTATTCAACTACTCTCTAAATCTCCTGCTCATTTTATGCAGGCTTCTAAATATATTTTGTGCAAGGCTGCATCATTACCTTTATTCACACATACATCATTTTCTTGCAGTGTTTTGCACATTTTCTCTGCCTGGAATCCCTGTCCCTTTTTAGATTACCCAAAAAAAAAAAATCCTTTTCATCCTGTCAGCCTTATTTCAAGCCTATAACATACTCTTTGTCCCCTCCTAGAAGTTAAATACTTTCCTCCCTTTGGTCAGACATTCCTCCTTCCATCAGCTACACTGTTTAATATGATAGCGATATCTGGAGCACAGTAATTTAAAAATCTATGCGTAAGTAATAATGAGTACAGTATTATTCAAAAGGGGATTCACCTCATTTAAGTTGTTTGGAGGTAGTAATTTAGGATCATGAAAAAAACAGTATAAATTTTGTGTAAGAAATTAATCTATTAGCCTCTAGTATAAAGCAAAATTCATGTACAAGGCAAACAGAAATATTTTGGTAGAATTTGAAACTAACAATAAAGAATGTCCAGAATATATCACATAAAGTGATAATGATATAGATTCTAAAATTGAAAGGAAAATTGGAGCTCACTGAATCCCAGGCCTGTTGAGATGCCCCTTCTCAGTGTCAGGGCACTGTTCTTTCTATTGATCTGACATAGTACGAGGTGATACCATAGGGAGCTGAGATCTAAGAAGAACTTGAAACTGAGGGCCTGGAAGTGGAAAAAAAAATCTGAATAGCTGTAGACATCCTTTGTGACTGTCTCTATTACGTCCTTTCTTCAACTCACCCATTTGCCCACTTGGTATTTGGTGATTCTCTAGAAATTATGGAAGATATTTCAATTATACTTAAATTTCTGTGATAGAACATTCTTCCTTTTATTCTAAATCAGTTGTAAGTAGAAAGTTAGTTTGTACTCTTTAACTAACAATTTGCCCACTCTCCATACAATAGTAACCACTATCCTCCTGATGAGTTCCATGATACTCATTTGACTCAGAATTTCAGATGTTTGCCTTTGGTCGGGTGGTACCAGAGGTCAAATGCAGGACCTTGTGCTTGCAAGGCAGGTGCTAAATCCCTGGCCCAGATGTTTGACATTCACTCTGAAGAAGAAATAGTATGTAGCATAGCAAAAGGAGGTCAAAATAACAGGAAACTTACTAGAGGTAAGGGATTTATTTTCTGACATTTTTATTCCAGTTTATGAACCACTGACCAAATGTGCATTTTTGTCACAGAACCCAAAGCCAAATAATGAACAAGTGCAAGCAGGGAGCAAGGACAAGAAGGAGAAAGTCTGAAATATACCAAATTAAAATGAAGTGAAATGAGACATATATAGGTATTTCTTACTAAACAAATTGTAATGGGATAATGTAGAGAAAGACTATGGGAGGTGTTTGAATAACACCACGTTGCTCAGAAAGCTGATTCATTACCATTCTGATAGAACTCTAAAGGGAGTGGGCTGATTTGGTAGAAATATGATACATAGCCTCGTCTGGGGATGGAGTGGTTGTGATAGTAAGATTAATTCTAGCCAAGAGCTGTATTTTTAGTTCACAGTCAGAGACTTACAGGTGTTGTACTGGCCTTCAGGAACACAGAGCACCTGTGGACAAAGTGAGGACTGCAGTACCAGGTACTTTCAATATGAATACCAAAGATGCCACATGGCTCCCTGGAAACTAGCGCAACCAAATCCCTTATTCCCCAAATAGAAATGGGTGGATCCAAGGACAGTCCCTCTGACACTGGGTTCCAGCCATTTTAACCTAGGACTCTGACTCACTGGTTAGAATTATCATCCTGAAACAGGACATGAACGCTTCCTCGATGCAGGCAGAAGGGATGTGTATTTGAATGTAACTTCATCAGAACAGTAATGTCCTATTGTCCTTCACCACACAGTTGCAGTGCCCCTGAAAGTCACTCTCTTTAGCCAAACACAAAGCACATTGTTTTTAAAAATCTGGGATTCATTTTATTTCCACTTTTAGAAAACCCACAAAAAAGCCGATTTCCAAAACAGGGAGATGTGAAGGTAATTGCTAACATTATGACTAGATCGTTCTTTCAAATATTTGAGTTACTCAGTAAGTATTCTAATGTGTATATCCACGACTAACTACTGGAAGGATAGAACTTCTAAAAATGGTAGGTGCCATGGTTGTTGCATTGCTATTATCCCATATGATAGATGAATAATTTGAACATCAAAAATGTAAATAATGAATCAAAGGTATAAAGTTAGTAACTGGCACAGCAAAATTTCCTCATAATCCCATGCCTTCAGTAACATGCTCTCATTCACTTTGCTGCATAGTCCCCTCTTTTTTTATTCTGTCACTTTAAGTATTATTTTAAATATTGTATGGTATAGGGAGATTTATAATTTTTTAAAAGGCATAGATTGATTAAGAGCAGAAGTGTTACTGAAAAGGCTCAACTACATTTTAAAATGTAGAGTACATATTTTCCCATATGTCTGCATTATACTGTAAACTTTTATTAGAACTTTTAATGTTGTAAGTTTAAAAAGTATTGCATAAAAATTAAAGATTTTCATTATCTTGGTGCTTTTGATAAAATTTTTATTTACAAATTCTAAAAGTAGATTAATAATTAGCAAATTCACATAACATTTTAATCTCCATCCTTGACTCTTTCAGCACAAGTTTAATAGCAGCATAAACACGAAATAATCCAAGGACGAGTGAAGTGCACCCTCTTTTTGTTGCAGTTGGAGTAGAGGGCTTCTCATTTATGGTTCTTCAAATTCTAAAGTCAAACTGATAAATCCAGTACAATCTACATATTTATCCTTTAACATGGAACCCAAAGAGGTGAGAAGTAAAGCACTCTCAGAATCATAGCAGGTAGAAAGATTCAGGCAAAAGACAAGAGCAAATCCAACAGAGGGCAAGGAAAATGAGAAATGAGGAGCAACTGTGAATCCCAGAGGCCACAGATCGATCCACAAGGAGAGTTGCTTTAACAGAGAGAGGGGACAGAAGCCAAATGACTGAGCATGCTGACAGTGGCCCAAGCAAACCCAAGAACAGCCATGTCAAAACCACCTTAAAGCAAGTTGTTTTCGTTAGAAAATAAGACACATTTTACTGGGTCTTTTTTGCTTTTTGAAGTTTTGCAAGACAGCAAATGACACAACCTAAATCCTTTATAGACTATGTTCTATAATTGACCCCAAAATTTCCTGATCGGTATAGATGTCACTGACTGTCCTATCTTCACCCTAAATTAGATTGGCAATTGTTCCGATGCAAACAAATGAAATAAATACATTTGTATAAGACAATTATATGTAATGCGACTTGACTTGGTCTCAAATTTGAAGAATCAGAAAAAGTCTGCCTTAAAATATGGATTCAGGTATGCCAGTGCACAAATTCACAGGCCTATCTCAGGGATAATTTTAAAATATGTTTTGCTTCCATTTAAGTGATTTTGTTTTGTTCCCTCAGCAGAAACCCTCCCTGCAGCTGAGCTGGCAGATCATTTATTTTTCTGAGAGCTCTTTGAACCAATCAGGACCCAGATAACCTTCTGGCTTGTGTTTCTCTTGATAAGAGTCTAGAGAAGTCATGAGTAATACTTTGCCGTGTGCCAGAAACCACTAGTATTTCGGTTGTACAAGGTTAGGTCTTAATTTAACCACCAACTGGATACTTAATTTTAGACACACAGAGGAACACATGCACTCCAGGGCACTTCCTCTGCTTTAGGAGGGCAAATCCCTGGATGAGAATGACAAGATGATCATTCCAAAAGGTGAGATTATGAAATATTCAATCTGTACCTTGACAGCTAGTTTGTGAAAGAGTTCAGTATTGGAAATATTTTAAACAGGTGGAAATACAGACTGTGATAGCTATTCATTCTTTTTCATTGATCATCGGTAAGCTCGCCTGTCTAGGGCCTTTTAAATTATAGAATAAAGCCAGGATAGTTTCATTTATTTATAGAATATCAACTCAATTACATAATATTAGTCATAACAAAATGTCATATCATGAGAAAAACAGGTCAAGGATAAATATGTTAATGAATGGATATGGATACTATGGATCTCAGGAGGATCTTAGCTGACCTTTTGGTTTCTGATAAAAAAAACTAAGTAACTTTTGTGAATAATTAAATCTATATCAAGACTTTTTTATTACTGTTGCAAAAGATAGATGTTTTACGTTCACACTTGAAAACAAATATTCTAAATTAAGATGAAAAACCTGAACTCACTTGAATACAGAATTTTGAGTCTGGAAAGTCCTTGAAATTTATTTGTTAATTATCACTCACCCGGATTCTAATTGAACAGCTTGTAAGTAGCTTTCTACATCTAAAATGATTGGATTTCCATCAAACAGCAATGATATAAATGAGGCAAATTCTATCACTGTTTTGTGCTGAGAACAATAAATTATTCTAATAAAATAACATCATTTTGTACTTTGTTTTTATAAGAATATCTTATTTTTGAAAATTTGCCTAAATTTTTATTTTCCGCTGTAGCTGTACAAGTTTGCTGGTTGTTCACTTAAGTTCTTTCAGAAGATTTTTTCTGAGGCTTATAAATTTTAGTTTCCAGAATGAGATGCACTTCATTCGTTTCATCACAGCAGCTGAGTCATAGCTGCTGAACTGCTGTGCCTTCTATTACCAGACCACCAGGTTATGTTCCAATCTGTACTATCCACTAGGTATAATAGCCTGAGCATATTAGCTATCCTTTCTGGGTTTACTTTCCTATTTTCAAAGTAGGAGAAAAGTACGGTGTAAACATTAAATGATATAATTCACTCAGTGCACATAGTATGATAGACTTTAAATCCATGTCAATAGATGTTAGTTAAAAATACTATATCAGTCCTAAAATACTAAATTATTAATTCAGTATAGCAATCATTTACTGAGGATCTACTGCATGTTTATTTCAGCTAGACCTTGTCAGGGAGGAAAGAAATTGGTGTTGTTTGAGGGGAAAGTCTAGAATACATTATTTAAAGGCAGCAACTCCCTGAAGGCACCAATCCTGTATGGTTGTGTGTAGCACAGTATGTGAAAAGTGGCAGATACTGAATGCATAGTTTTGAATGAATGAATAGAATGTTCAGAAATAGGTTAAAAATAATAACTGGCAGGCCAATTATTTTCTTTTGCCTTTTTGACTAGTGGAGCAAGGGAATGGAGTAGAATCTATAATCCAACAAGGGATTTGACAGTTATCTCTCAGTGATGGTCTGGTTATCAAAAAGGAGACATAAATGCGAGATGTGGTCTCTTAAAGAGGATTTGTAACTGGATAAACAGCTTCTCTCCAAGGGTGCTAAATAACGGATCAATGTCAGCCTGGAGCCTCTGTCCTGCACTAATTTCTCTCCAACATATATCATTGTCAATAGGTCATAAGGACATATAAGACATGCTTATTAGATCTGTAAATAGAACACTTGAGGGGTGGAAAAAGCATTAGATCTTAGCAAATGGGAATAAACGTGAAACCTACAAAAGATGAATTGTAATAGAAATAAAGAATCCTATAAAAATTATACAGCAAATAATGTGGGTAATGTAATTTATAGAACTGGAAGTAACAAGGACCCAAATAAATATGTAACACTATAACCCCACATTCATGTGATCTTGGGCTTGATTTATACATGTATATTGTCTGAGAAAAGGGAGTTAGTCATATCCATTTAATGCTGTGTTGGTCTGACTGCACCAGTTAGACTGCATTCAAAACTTACAGTTCAGCGCCACTTCTAGAAAGAGATGCATAATAAGTGTGATATATAAATAAGTGTGATAAATAAAAGTTTGATAAATAAGTGTGCTTACAGGAAAGCAATCAAATGATGAAGGAGATTAAGTGATGTCATAAGAGTAGCATGCAAGAAGGTTCAGGAGAGATCTGACAGCCTTCCTGAGTGATATTTAAAATTGTTTTCATATCCCAGAGAAAGAACACTTTCTCAGTGTGGTTCTGGGGAAAAGACAATACTATCAATAATGGTTTGAAGGATGAATTTGAAGTGTTTTTCATAATTGTTAAAGCTGCCAAAGATGAAGAGCTGTTTGGGTGTTGGGATAGAGGGTTTCTTGGCACTTTGGATTTCAACTGAGACTTGCCAACTACATGCTGGGCAGTAGTAGATGAGATTTATAGGTAGGACTACTTGATGGTTTTAAGCATTGGAATTTGCTGGTTCCGGGGTAAAGGGAAAGCAGAGGGCCTGTTCAAGGGAGGGAATGGAACCAAAGAACTCTGAAACATGCAATTGCACTTCCTTATCCCGGAAGAGTTCAGTCACTGAATAATAGCAGGTATTGTTTACTGACGGTGACACATCACACACAGTTAACAAGGCAGCTAAGGAAAATAGGCTAGGAGTTGAACAGATCACTACATTCACCATTTTCAGCAGAAAGAAATTAATGGCATCTATATGATTTCAGAACAAGATACTAAAAAATACTACAGCTCATTATTGTTTAAATTTTGAAAAGAACAGTATTTAACTTAATTTTATGACAGGAATTCTATGTCCAAGAAAATATACTATGCTTAGGAATAAACATTTTTAGAGGGAAAATGTGTATGTGTATAAAAGTAGTGCATTTTAAAGTATAGACTTTTTTTCATTGTTATACCCAATTAAAGCAGTAGAAACATTTTTACTTATGCTACAATTCAGTTGTGTAAACCAAAATCTGCTTTTTTTAAAAAAAAAAACTATCAGTAGCTTCACCATCTTTGCAAATGGCTACTCACTAATTAGTGAAAAATAACTTTTGGTCTCACACAGACAATATGACAGGTTAGTAAACCTCATGCTTTGATAAGTCAGGTAAATGCATCCATCTTTCAGATTTCTGCTCATTTCCAAGCCAAGAAACTTTTCCCACCTGTAATATTTAAGTGGGGTTTTTAGCTTGATGGGCTTGGGAACTGTCTAAGAATTAGGAAAGCACATTTTGAATGAGTCTTGAAGAATCATGGAGCTGTGACTCAGAGTCCATATCTGGTAGCTCATTCCTTCCCCTCTTGTCCTGTTGTCTGGCTCTGCTTCCGGTCACCATAAACTAAGCGTCTTTGTTCCACCATGCCCTCTTATAATGATGCTTCTGCCTCAAAGCCAGCTAACCATGGACTGAATCCCCTAAAACTGTGAGCCAACTTATTTTTATTATTCCTAAGGTTTTAACAGTTCAAATACAGCTGAGATGTACATCTCTCCAGTAGATGTTGGGTACAGGTTTGCAGTGACAGGAGAGCTGACTGATAAATCATCATCTTTCACCTGCTTTGCTATAAATTTGGGCAAGTTCTCTTCTCAAGTTTGCCAGAGTTCCTTGTCTGCCTGGCTCTGACAGTTAGAAGCCAGGGCAGTTTTTTGGAAGAATTTGTGAACTTTAGCTCCAAAAAGTCAGTCTTAGTTTCCTTTTTATTTTTGTTGTTCTTGGTGAAACTCTTAATATGTACACTCCCACCAAATTTCAAGTATACAATACAGTTATTGTGTGCAACAGACAACCAGAATTAATTCATCCTGCAAAACTGAAAATTTTAACACTTTGACCAAAATCTCCATATTCCATTTTCCCAGATCCTAGCACTATCATTAAACTGTTTCTGAGTGTAACATTTTAAATTCCATATATATGTGAGATCTATTTGTCCTCCTGTGTTTGATTTATATTGTTAAGCATATTCAACAGGTTCATTTTAGTTGTCACAAATGACAGGATTTCCTTCTTTTTAAATGCTGAATAATACCCTATTGTAAATATATTGCTCCTTTCATCCATTCATCTGTCAATGGACATTTAGGTAGATTTCATGTCTCGGTTACAGTAAATAATGCTCCAATGGACACCGAAAGGCAGATGTCAGTTCTTTTGGAGACACACCCAGAGGGGGTATCGTTGAGCCATAAGTTAGTTATATATTTAAAGTCTTGAGGAATTTTCTATTGTTTTCATAATGGTTATACGAAGAAATTTGGGAGTAAATCTGGAAAGTGATGAATATTTTAATCACTTGATTGTGGTGAATATTTCACAATATATATGTGTGTATTAAATCGTTTAGTTGTACACCTTAAATATATAGTTTTTAAAGTGGTAAATGTTAGTTCTATTTACCTCAAGAAAATTGGATAAAGTCAATTTTAATTACTTAAAAGTGGCTGTTCACATCACCCTTAAATATGGTATCCTTTACATTAAATATTCTTCATATACATTAACCAATAACTATTAATAGCGATTATATTCTACTGTTTGTATATAAAATAGTATCTCCTACAAATTTCCTCTTGTTATACATGTATGTGACTTCTAAGGTTTTGACAGTTTAAATACTGCTGACATGAACCTTACTTTGTTTGGTTTTTGGTGTTTTTTGTTTGTTTGTTTGTTTATACCAAGGATCAAACTCAGGTCCTTGTGCTTGTGAGGCAAGCGGCAGCACCACTGAGCTAAACGCCCAGCCCCTGACATGAACCTTATAAATCTTTTCTCACATCTCTGATCATTTTTGTAAGATAGACCTTTAGATGTAAAATTTCAGACAAAGGACAGGGCTACTTAAAGAATATTATTACATTAGTTGTGATAAGAGCACATCTATTTCATGTGTCATTTTTTTGCTAGTTTTTATTCTGTAAGTTTATATTCCCCTAGAAATGTGTGTATTTATGAACCTAAAGCTTCTTCATGCACTGTTGCTATTTTCAAAAGCTAATAGATGTCTTCCTACATTTCTGTCAAATTTGGACTTGACTTGTAAATCAATAGTATAGAGTAAGAATTTCTACTGTTGTAATATGAAACCAGAGATAAGCAAAACCAGTATGACAGTTTCTACTGTTAATGTATTTTACATAGAAATTATACATTAACCAGTACAACACCAAATTAGAAGTAGTTTGGCAAAAATGTCTACAACATAAAGAGAAAATACAAAGTTGACCTGTTATTTGGCTAATTATAAGGGCAATGTATATTTGTTCATTCCATTATTCATTTATTCAGCCAACACATAACTGAATCCTCATGAGAGGCCAATTGTCATACTTAGTGTCTAGAGATCAATTTGTCCAGTTTACTTTTTTATTTTTAAATGTCAAGTTGTATATCTTTGAGGCAAAACAAAAGTAGTGTTTGTTTTCTGGACTCCAATTGTTTGTATGCACAAGTGTATGTGTGTACATTTTGTGTGTGTGTGTGCTTTAAATGGATCAGCAGAGCATGTGGTATTCCTTAAAAAAAAAGATGCTGCTTGAATTGATCCAGTTCTTTCCATCATCTATAGACTTTCTCTTTAGTAGAAAAGACCGATGTCATAAGGGAATTGCTGTAACTTATAAGTAAGAGTTACCTGTGACTATAGATGGAACCCAAATCTGACAGGGAGTAATACCTCTCTCTGAAAACTCCTAGAAGCCAAGTGTCTTTGTTGCTGAAATCCGCCAAATGAACCATTTTGTGATTTGAATCGAAATATCCCCCCAAAATCACATGTGTTCAGAAGTGGGCGTTAGAAGGCGATGGATGATGGGGCACTAACGGGTAAACCCACTGTTGAATTCGTAGCTGAATTGTTAAGAGGTGGAGCCTGGTTGGAGGAAGTAGATTGCTCTATAAATTACTTTGAAGGGTGTGTCTTTCCTCTGACTCTTCTTGCTCCAACTGCTTCCCTGCTACCAAGAAGTGAATAGCTTTACCCTTCCACACCCATCTGCCATAATGTTTCCACCTTGGAGTTGGCCAACTATGGACTGAAACTTCTGAAACTGTGCGCCTAAATAAACCTCTTCTTCATTAAATTGAAGGTGTTAGGTATTTTATCCCAATGATGAAAATACAGTACAAGCCATTTATCTAAATTGTTACTTTGTGCTACAGGACTTGGAAAAACTAAATGTGTGTAACTACCCAATTAGCACCAAAATTAAAAGTTTATTTGCAATAATTTTATAATATCTTTAAAATTACTTATAAATGGTCAAAGTGCAAAAACAGGACGAATATTATTTTGCATATAACTATTTTCTTTAAAAAAAAAAAGAAAATGTCCTTATCTAACTCTTGCTCTTTTTCTGATAGGATAACTCCCAGTGATTGTCTCTTGGACTTTCACTAGATGAGCCCAGCAACCAAGAATCATAGCATTTTCAAGGTAAAAGAAACATTTCTCTGTGAATCAGGTCTTGTATTCCACACAGCAGAGACTTGTAGCTCCTTCAGAAACTTAGGGTTTCAATTTGGGTTTAACTTGTATAAAATTGCAAAGAAGTTCAAATTTTGCCATAGTGCCCTTTCCTTCACCTATCACCTCCAACTAGATCTCAACATTGGACCATCTACCACCATCCCGTATAATTTTTTCCAGTCCATTCCCATTAACTCTCCCAAGAAATCCTTGATCTATACTGATTGCCAGTATGGTGATATCGACATTTTAAAAGGAACAATGGAATAACAATGTGCCCTAAATTGACAGCATCTCTCACTGATGTAACAAATGATATTGACACAACAGGTGCTGGGGCAGTGTGATATTTATGGACACACAGCCCTTCCTTCCTTGTACCATGGAAGCAACTGTCCACTCAGCCCACTGTCAAGGCCACCCCTGTTATGGACACACAGATATTGTTGCAATTTGTTATATCCAAGACAGAGTGTTAGGTTAGGCAGGGTGATGAACCTGGATGTAATCAGGACCAAACCAACTAAACGATTCATGAGGAACACAGTTATATTTGTCCTATTCAGGGAAAAGGAGAATTGTGCTTCTGTGCTATGGGTACTGCCATGTTTCAAAGGACCCTCTGAAGGGTGTCAAACTTATCAACCACCTTAACAGTAAAGATTAGCATGAAGGAAGGGTTGGAAGTAGTTTGGAGAATCTGATGCAAGGACGCGTCATGTAGTCACGTTCACTCCAGAGTCACACCTTGTGACATCCCAGCTTTCTGACTGCTTCAGTCAGGCACCAGCCAGTGCGTGGATCCTGTTTTTTGCATGGTGGTGTTTAAAGTCCAAAACAAAAAGTACAGAAAGAAAGCAAGGTTAAGACAGCTCAGACCACCCTTATTGCACAGAGCCAAAGACAAAAAGATTTATGTGTCTTTAGAAGCTATTTTTTATTTTTGGAAGTTATTGTCATCAAAGAGCTGGCTGTTAAGAGCGGGATCAAAGTGTTTTGTTTTAAAGGCAACAGGCTGTGGGATGTTTTCCTGCAGCTTGTGAAGGACCTTAAAAGTGAAGTTACTCTCTGCTCAGACTGTTATCTTTGCAACACCGGGCAGGTATTTTAACAACTTGAAGCTTAAGATTGCACTTATCCACAGTGATCTATAATACCTGCAACATAGCATTAAAGAAAGCATTTTAACAAAACAATGTAGGTAAGGTGCTTTTTAAGGCACTTAACACAAATCCAGCACTAAATAATTTATAGTTCTTATAACTAAACATATTCTAAAGTTTACATGTTTGCCAAACTTTCTTATTGTCTAAGTTTTGGATTTGATTCATTCCATTTGTAAAATACATCAATAATTAATGATGTCTGGATAATACATTTAGAGCTTAGCATTTTAAAATCCTGAATTTCACTGTTTTTTTAATGCCATGGGCACATGAAAGAGTTTCAGATGATCCATGATTTCCTCAAAATTGTATGCAGACATTTGAGTAAGCACCATGTCCTTCTTGAGAAAGAATCCATAGCCCTCATCACCTGTGTTCCTGACCCTCACCAAAATTTAAATGAAAAAGCTAATTTACAGTAAGATTGTCCCAGTTATTTTGTAAATCAGCTATTAAGGAAGAGTAACTGATCTCACTAGTGGGATTCTAGAGAATAAAACTGAGTAGAAAATGTCAATTAACTTATTTAAATAGACCAAGAAGTGACACACTTGTGAATAGATCTTAAAGGTTGTCAATATATTGCTTGACCTTGCCTCCTACACTCCGGAGTGGTGCTTCATTTAAATAATTTCGTATTGACCAGCTGGCCTTCAGTTAAGATTGAATCCTAATTGTTTTAGGTTTGCAGTCAGTATGAGTAACTCTCTTCTTGCCTGTCTCATTGCATCTTGATGTCTTTAAGCCCACCCCAGCAACACTGTTTGAATGGCTCAGCACCTATGCACATGGGCACATACCCTCCCTTCATCCCAAGCTGTCAGTATGAAGCTGGAGGAGCCTGTGTTAGATTGGAGTTGTCTCATGAGGTTTGCCTGTCATCCCTGCCGCGCTGTCATTAGGGATACAAAACTGTTCAGAATCCAGATAACACCTTTCTTGATGATTGTTAAAAGGATGTTTAAAAAAAAAAAAAAAATTCCAAGACTGAATTTCCAGACCAGTTTAGTTCCTAAGGAGCCTATGGTGTTTCACTGACCAGAAACCCAGATTTCAGTCAGGGTGGATTTAATCTGATCATTTAAATGGGTGAAAGGCTTTGTGCTCCATTGCTAATCCAGAACTGTGTGATCCCCTCATTGTCATGGTGGACGAAAACAGGCAATGCTACAGCTTTAATTTTGTTATCTAGTTATGTTAACTGAAGCACTCAGTCCTTATTCACCGGTAATTAACAGGCAACTTTTTTCCAGTGACCACTAAAGAAAGCAGTTTGCCACAGTTGTCTGGGAGTGGGAATAGAGGGGAAAGATTTAAAAGAGAAAGAAAAAAAGAAAGTGGGACTGCTGACGTGACTCAGGGATAAAGCCCTTACCTAGCACGGAGGAAACCCTGGATTCAATACCAGGTACAGCAAAAAGAAAGCTTTTTTTCCCCTGAGAAAACTTGGAACACAAAACACAAATATGTGAAGAAATTGCAAAGCAAACTAGAATGAGTATAAATACAGATGTTCTGGAAATGTTACATAAGAAGGAAAATTCACTGATAAAGAAGACTAGAGAAGAAGTGAATTCTAGTACGGGCTTCCAATAGAAGGAAAGTCTTGGGCTAGACATGGAGCAGTGGAGGCCATGGGTGTCATCATACAGCTGGGAGCCTTGTGAATGAACAACGAGGAAGTGGATATAAAAGCACAGAAGTGAGCAAAAGTAAGCCAAGCACAATGAGCAGTCAAATTTGTTTAGGTGGAAGAAACTCCATTCCTGAGAGAAATGGTCAGCTGTAAGAATAAAGCACAGACTAGTTTATGTTCCGGGGCTGTTTTATTAATTCATTAATTCATTCCACATGCAAATAGAGACCATAAAACCATGAGACTGTTTCTCTACAAGCTGAGGTTGCAGACTGATTCCCTGTTCTTATGTAGCTACTTTTCAGAAGGAGGAGATAAAATAGATCTATTCGGCAAGGAAGACCTTTTCGTGCTGAGATATCCCAGAGTGAGGAGTATTTGGCTTAGTGGAGCTCTGCTACCACCTCAGTGACCTCTGAACACTATCAATACTCTGTATCCCTTCTGTTCTGAAGTGGTGAACAATAAAATCCTAATGATGCTAATGAGTTTGTGTACACCCTGTCCAGAGGTCAGGGACCTTGGCTTTGAGCATGTTTAGAATTCTCCCTGGAGTTTAAGACCATCCAAACTTGAAGAGTGAGAAGAGCTGTACAGCATATGTTAGCCGTGTTTTGGAAATTGCCTGCACAGAGTTTTTGTCTTCTTCCTTGAAAAGACATACTAACTACAATATAAAATTTTAAGTGGAGAATATGTTCTGGTTTGAAAAATACTACTAACCCTGGGTACTTTCATATCGGCTTAGTGGACCTATCTGTAGAATTATTTTTATTTCTACACTTACTAAACTTTCTCAGCAAATAGAAAAAAACAATAGACCCAATAGTAAAAAGAGATATTGAGTCTTCTAACTTGAGATTTGGAAGAGATAAGCCCATGAAGAATAATTTACATTTTGTATATTATCCTCAGAAGAGATAGACCAGTCAGAAGCAGTTCCTTATAACGGATAGATAGAATTATATGGGAGAATAAATGGGAGATGTACAGCGGGGCTGCTTGCTGGTCTGCAGATGGAGTTAAGAAGGTTCTTATCACAACTGTTCTAGTGATGCTCTGAGGCCAGCCAGATCTTACAACTGACCTCTGTGGGTTTGTAGAGAATGTAAAAGAATCATTGTTCTCCATTAATGCCACTGACCCATCTCTTTTTTAGGTTTAGTTTTAAACTCCTAATGTGCCCTGTAAATAGATGGGCCAAAGTTAGTATGCATCAGAAACTTACAAAAAAGATAATTCTTTTTTTTAATTGAGTTTATTGGTACATTCTAGGTAGACAGTACAGTTACATTCATTACTGGGATCTTGTACCTTTACATGACAGGTCTTAGTTCTCATTTTTCCCCTTGTTCCCACCTTCCCTTAACCCCCTCTTCCCCTCCCCACCTACAAAGACTTTAGTTCCATTTTTACATTTTCTCATATTTTTCCCTTTCCCTTATTCCCCTTCCTCTACTTTTCTCACTGTCCCTATATCTTTAGTCCTTTTCTTCCTGTTTCACATTGCTAATTAAACCGTTAGGATCTTGAGTACTATTTTAGTTTTTCACACCAGAGAGGCTATTTGGTATTTACACATGTGTGACTTATTTATTTCACTTAGAAGTATATCCTCAAAATGTACCCATTCACCTATGAATGAATCTACTTTTTCATTCTTTATGACTGAGTAGTATTCCATTTTATAGAAAAACCACCAGTTTCCAACTGGTGGGCAGGTGGGCTGTTTCCAAGTTTTAGCTATTACACACTGTGCCTCTATAAACATGGGTGCACATATATCACTGTGGTATGATTCTTTTAATTCTTTTGGAAAGATACCGAACAGAGGGATGGCTGGGTCAAATGGAACCTCTAATCCTAGTTCTTTGAGGTATCTCCATAAAAAATGATCTTCTTAGGAAAATGTTTCAATTATTTTTACAAATTCAGTTTTGTGAAAATGTACGTGTAGGTGCTATCACTGTAGAGTTTGGCTCTCTTATACAATGCAACACTAACAGAATCACAATTTTGTTTTCCTCTATAAGATGCTGCTTTTGAATAGTTAATTGCCCCCTGCTGTCCACACAATCTCTGTGATGAGTGTTATCATTGTGTGTATATAAAATGTACCAATATATGTTTTGCTAAAAATAAAATGAAATATGAAAAAATAAGATAATTCTTATAGGTTCAACTGCAGCAACACTGAGAAGAAAGTAAAAAAATTTAAATTCACATGCTCAATGGATCAGTAATTAAAAGTTTCAACAGTTAGAATATCTAAGCTAAGAAAATGGACATTATATATTTATATGGATTAAGATGTTAACTGAATTTGTATTTCTTTTTTTCTTTTTGCATTTTTTGGTACTGGGGATCAAACTCAGGACACTGAACTTGTGAGGCGGGCGTGGTGTCACTGATCTACATTCCCGGCATGCATTTGTATTTCTTAAATAGGGAAAAAACTGCATTTTAGTTTTTCGTTTTGCTTTAGTAATGTCAGTCTTGCCTGTTCAGTATTATTTGTTAATAATGAAAAATTACCTCTTTCAAAATTATATCCAGGTATGGATCCTAATGATGACCTCGATGAAGATAATCTTACAAGTTATGATATTCAGCTTAGTATTCAAGAATCCATTGAAGCCAGCCAAACTGTATTTAACCCTGAAAGGTAGCATTATAATCAACTATCCTCAACAAAATTTCCTATGTCATATCCTGCCTCTTACTCTAGGGAAATGTTTCCCTTCTTTTCTAGAAGAAAAATCTAACAGCCTTGCAAAGGCCATTGTGCACAGAGTTTAATACTCCGAACTTCTACAAATCTCCACCTCATGTGGAAAATAGAAATTGAATTTACCTAGATAGAAAATTTCTAATTGACCAGGATTGGATAGGATTTCCTATTTTCTAAAGTAATAGGGAGTGAAAAAGATAATGAGTGATTTCAACAAATTTGCAAGTACTGTTTATACAACAAATGTATAGACAGGTAGACAGAGGTCTGAACATGACACAGAACATTCTGCTACTCTCTCAGGTAACCTTTATAGGTGAACAAATTGAAATATACATATAATTAACATATTAGATAAGTAGGAGTTATGGAGCCTAAAACTGCAAAAGTAAATCTCTGTCTTGAATAACACATACTCCTGACAAAAATAAACCTTAGTTTACTTTCACATTCTATTATCATATTTAGAATCTTATATTCTGGAATTGAATAATGCTTTTAAATAGATTCAGTGATACAAAACTATTGCTTTTGATCTTTTAAAATAGACTTAATATATTTAAATTTCTAGTCTTTAAAAATGTTCCCTTACCATTAGCAGATATTAGAACTTGAGAGTTTCCTGGTAGGCATTAAAACTCTAGAATTCTAGTAAATATTTCTACTTAGTATGATTAAAAGTTTTCATGAAATTACATGTTCTTATTTAATTCACACACACACACACACACACACACACTCAAAGAATTGTCATGAGGGTTTAAACCATGACCTGTTGGCCAATAACTGTGAGTTTGTTCAGTTTTCATTTGTAGATTATTTGACAAAAATATTCAATATGCAATGTGAAGCATAAGCTCCCAAGTTAGTGTTTATTAGCAATTATTATGTTCCAAACAACAAATGTTTACTAAATATACAGTTTTCAAAGTTGGAAGAAGCTTTGGAGAGCCTACTTAATCTGTTCATTTAATAAAGGAACCAACACCTAGAGAGAGTGCTAAGCTTCCCAAAGATCACAAAATCAGGTTGAAACCTAAACCTAGTAATTCTGACCCTGAATTGATCATTTTTTTCACTGCTTAGGGAGACCTTACACATAGTATCATATCTTTTGCAATCTTCATTAGTGTTCTTAAGTCTGGTATATCATAAATATATACTGCATCTGACTCAGGCATTTACATTTTAAAAGTGGATATAATCAGTTTGTGTGCATTTCCTTTAGATTTTATTATAATTATTCCCAAATACTCAATGTAAATTTAAATTTTGGGTCCCTTAAAGTATACCACTAGTATAAATATGGCTTGTTTTTCTTTTCTGGTAGATTTGTGCCACTAAGCAATCAAAACAGAAAACTCACAGAGGCCATAAAACAAAGTAAATGGATCTATTATTGACAGAGGGATAGACTGGAAAAAACACCTTGCAAAGCCAGAGCTGTGTCCTTCAGTACCCGTTTTTACTTAGGTCACATCCTTGAGCTCCAGGAATTTATGAAATACAAATATGCACTGGATGAAGCTGATGAAAAAGGATGGTTTCCACTGCATGAAGCTGTTACTCAACCTGTTCAACAGATACTTGAGATTGTTCTAGATGGTAAGAGAGCATATAACTTTTGATTAAACTATAGAAAAATGATAAAGTTATGATTGTCCTTGTATATGGGGGGTGTGTGGAGGGAGTGAAGGGAGGGTAGAGGTATGGGGAAAAAATGAGAACCAAGACCTGTCATGTAAAAGGTACAGGATCCCAATGATGAATGTAACCGTACTGTATACCTAAAATGTACCAATAAACTCAATGAAAAAAATAAAGTTATGATTATTCCCAGTGAACATAACAAGCAAAAATAAGCACAATAAAAGGTTATTTGTAATTTGAAAACAGTAATGCCCATATTTTAAACTCAGAGTCCAAAAAATATAGAACATTTTGTGACATTGGAAGTTACCTTTTGCATGAATATGAAAGAATGGTGAAAATGTGTTGTTATCAATTATAAGTGATAAAAGATTTTATACATTATGAATTAAAAGCATTTTTCTTTTGAAAGTCATATTTTAATGTTTCATCTTGAATTATTGCTTGATTTAATAATTACCAGAGATTATTATGTATTGCCACAAATAATACTTACATCCATTAGCTTTTCTAGATGTACCCATTAACAAATATTACGATCAGTCAACCTAATATTAAACATGAATAATACCTGTTGTATTATAACACAGTGTTTTTCACATCTCAGAATTTTATTGAACTTTAGGAGAGCTTTATCTTTTAAATTTCACTTTTGCTTACTACATACTTCTGCTTTAGGAGATAATAAGAAATACCTGAAAATTAGCCATCCAGCCTACTAGAAATGCAATTTAAATAATAAAAAGATGGAGGGATTAGAGAATTGCTTTATAAGGTACCAAGAAATAAAAATAAGCAGCTTTTAAAAATAATTTTAGACATATCTGTTGGTTTTCTACCTGTCTGTTGGATTAGAGAGTCTATGTCCATCTATCTGTCCTCACCATTATTTGTCAAATTTCTGTCATATCTTCTCTTTAGTCTTCCCTCTACCATCAATTAACTGTTTGATCTGATGCATATAGTACTGTTATTCTGATCTATGCAATATCATTTAAGTAAATACTTGAAATTTTTAACATAATTCTTTGATATCTCAGCATCTTATAAGACAATCTGGGAATTCAAGACCTGTGACGGAGAAACACCCTTGACTTTGGCAGTCAAAGCTGGTCTGGAGGAAAATGTAAAGATTTTACTCGAAAAGGGAGTATGTCCTAACACCAAAAATGATAAAGGAGAGACACCTCTTCTGATTGGTAAGTGATATTTTTTTCTAAAATTTACTTAGTTTGAAATACATAAGTATTTAATAAATATTTATTGGAAACCACAGACTACTGGTTAGAATTATGTAACCTCAATTCCTTCCATTCTCTGAGTTCCACTTCCAACTCCCATTTCGCCTGCCCCATGCTTTTGTTTTCCAATCCCAGAAAGAGGTAATGTGAAAATAGTGACATCCTGTAGAAAGATAGTTACATCTCAATTATAGAGAGTGCAGTAAATCAGGGATGGTCTGAACTAGTTTAATTAGACTAGAGATGTCAAGTTGAAAGGAATACAGTACTCTCTAGGTGGGGTCCAGTTAAAGAGGATCGTGGCTATAACACATAACCAAAAGAAAGAGATCAGACTGGAGATTCCAAAGGCAGACAGCAGGTCCACATCAGAACAATCAGACAAAACTGGAAGGAAGTAGAAACAGTAAATTCTGAGGAACAGATGCAGAGTTTGGAACCTATGAGGAGGTCACAACCATGACACAACCAAGGAAGGATGGTACCTCTGAAGGTATCACTCATTAATCAGCCTCTTCTCAGGCTTGTGAATACTTCTATTTGTTGAACAGTGAGAACTGAAAGGACCACTTGTAGAAGCAGAAAGAGGTGTGATTAACTACAAGTGACCAGAGATGATATTTCCTTTCTCATTTGGACTGTAAAATGATGGAGTAAGAATTTGGGCTTTGACACCTGAGATCTGTGGGCTTATATCCTAGCTGTAACATTGTGATCTAAAGAAACTTAGAAAAAGTTATAACATTAGTAAAATATTTTCATTTGACGGCACACATACAGCAACATCAATATAACAAAATGCATTAAAAAGTCACATTAAACCAAATACTCTTCTGGGCCGTGTGCACACAAAGACAAATGGACTAATCTTCCTCAAAGAGTCTAACAGTGGTGGTGAACTTATGGTAGACGTTGCTACAGCAGGCTGTTTGTATCACTGAAAGCTCTAAAAGGTTCATCATCACTGGTCTAGTAGGAGAGCTATGTATGATGTAAATGAAAAAAATCATGTTGTAAATGCTATACTATAACAGAATTAGGTACATAAGCAGGTAGTGAATATGCAGAGACTTCAAACAATTTAAACTCTTAGAATTGAGTCTTCAGGGACACCAAAGTGATTGACTCAGTGGGGAATGTGATGTCAGTCTGAGCTGACTGTTCCACACTTACTCTTGCCCCATGTCAGAGATTTCAGCTTTCCTAAATTCAGGTTAGAACAAGCAAATGAGTTATGATAGTTATGATAATGGCAAATCTTCTGTAACAACAACAAGAAGAAGACATACAAAGCAAGCAAATGAATAAAAATGACTTCAAAATAAGTCATTTTCAACCACATGTCAGAGGTGGTGGGTCCAGGGTTGTCAAGGTGGCTTCCAAGATTGCCTCAGATGTCACCATTTCCCAGGAAGCGAGCAGACAAGAGAAGAGTGGAAGCCCTCAGAATGCATCTCCAGTTTAAAAAGATGACCAAGACCTTGCCCAAAGCAGTTCCATTTATATTGTGTTAGCTCAGATTATGTCCCACTAACAATTAAGGGAGGTTGTGATACTTAGTTCCTACCTGGATGGCCCTTAACAAGTCAAAATGTTCCTAAAAGGAGAAGGAGTAATGTAAAGCCTGAGGAATACAGAGTAGTCTCTGCACACATATTAACCAGATGATTCGTCACAGTCACAATAGCACTATGACTTTCATTAGTAACCCAGAGCTCTTTTCCTAGGCAGGTTCTACAGACAACAAGTGGAATGTCCACCTCTGGGTTGCTTTACCACTATTGGTATGATATCTAATACTATTTAAAAACTAATAATGTCATAGATATTTGCAAGACATCCCTGAATTTCAAGTTTTTATAGATAACCTATGATTCCTGCAAAAAGGACACATTTTCAGAGTTGTATACTATTTCAGTTTGCAAATACAGAATTATTGTGTGAAATGTGCTACAAATAGTCTATTAATTTATGGGGGAAGTAAGAAAAGGGAAAGTATTGTTTCTTTTTCTATATAATTTCATTTTTAACATTCTCCTTAGCCTGATGTCATCATCTTTGTATCTATTTATAGAATATCCATAGGTGACAAAAAAAAATCCTAAAATTAGTTTTGGTCCCTTCAGTGTCCTTCTTCCCTATTGACCATTTGGCTTTTACTTCGGGCACTTTGATGCATTACATTCGTGCTGCACAGTTACTTGCTGAGTGGGGGATATCTGATTTGCGGTGATCTGACACTTATTAAGACCTTTATCCACTTGCACTTTGTCTCTGTCCCCCCCTCACGACTTAGTGTCACTTTACTAGGTTGGAGAGACACAAGCTGATCCCAGCCAGTGGAGCCGTGGGTGGCAGGAAGCTCAGGAACTGTTTGGCACAGTATTCCAGTCCACTCCACCCCGTCATTCAGCACCTTCCCCGCGTGTGCATGACTTCTTCTCACTCTGACATTTCTTTCGATACACATCCTCTTCGCTCCATCTCCACTTTCAATCTTCTGGTCTTTGTCCAGGTACCTCCAAAACCTCTTCTCAGTCTGTGCTCTGAATCAGAGAATCGTTTATAGTTAACAAGTACGTTACATGAGCAACGTACACATATCCGAAAAAGAAAGAAAATGACAAATTTATGATAAAAAGAAAAGCCTACCAACTATAAATACTCTAAAGTGCCTAAGTTTTAGGTGAAGCCTCCCATATCAGTCCCTAAATTCAATTTAAGCTTGGTTTTCTTTTTTTTTTTGGTCCCAGGGATGGATAAGCTTGGTATTCTTTAAGCCTTTGCTAGTGAAGATATAAAAATAAAAAGTTAAAAACTAAAAAGTTTCTGAATTTTAGAATTTTAAATTCTAAAGAAATAAAAAATATATAATTATATATAAAACTTCAGAAATTTTCATTTTTACATAATGAGTTATATTATTCCAAAATGGTGCCTTATAGTTTTCATCATTTCTGTCATTTATTGTGTAAAATGTCTTTATAGTTTAGCTTGGAAGGCATTTCTCATATTTTGCCCCATTTCTCTTGAAAATGTGTCCTTGGCTCCAAAGAATTAAATAGGAAGTGAGCTTTAATTTTTAAGAAATTATTTTAAATTGAAGATGGCATTCATGTGTCATTGTTTCATGAAGAAAGATAAACATCGCTATGCAATATATTCTTGAGGGAAACAAAAGGAAAGCAGATCATGAGCGAAGAGGCTCGTTATTTTGATACTTTATTTCCAATTATTAAAGGAAAGGAGATAAATGAGGACACACTTCTCATAGTTCATTTAGCTCTCTTGGAGTTAGCTCTACAGTCACACAGCCAGGATGAGGTAATTGACCGCAATTAGAGCTGCCAGTGGCAGATGGGCAGCTCAAGGAGAGGTATTTGTCAGCAGATTCTACTTTAGACAGGCAGTAAACAGGGGAAAAACTGGAACCTGTATCCAGATGAAGAAGGCAAAATTTGTCTTCACCCCAAATCACACCATTTGGAGCCATTTCACGCCCCTTAACCATAGACCCTTTCCGTTCTCCCTCCTTCCCACCAAGAATGTTGTGTGTGATCTCACACCTCCTGCCTTTTCTAGCAAACTTCACTGTTTGAGCCTCTTTTCAAACAGAAGACAGAAAGGGCTTCTTCTGTAGAGGGCCATCCCTGCCCAACACAGAGCCATTCATCAGAGAACAAACTGAATGAAGGAGTGAATGATGAATGAGTGGGTGGGGAAATCTGACTCTCTGTTTTTACTGAGTTTTACTTGGTTATTAGAAAAAATGTATTCTATATGTTGGAAGAATTCACATATTAACAGGGAAACCTACCAATAACACAGAAAGAAAAAGATTTTTAACAGTATAATTTCAACCATTAGAAGCAAGCGGGTGGGGGGGCTGAGCAGAGAGACATCTGGTTTAGTCATTGACTGTCACATACTTCATTCATTTAGAACAGCTGACCAGACTAGACTCTTCACAGTCCTATTGTAAGGTCTCTGTGAAAGTTTAGAAAAGTCCATTCAACGCTTACTACTATCATTGATAGGAGAAAAAAAGAAAACCAATTTCTATGGGGGAAACTTCATAAACATCGTATATGTATGGAGTGCCAGGTTTCCAGGAATGATAAAATGATATGTACCAGGTACTGTACTAGCACTTTGAATACATAAATTTATACAACCCAATCCACCCACTTTGTTGGTAAACAGACTGAAGTTTGAAAAGACTATACACATCATCCTGTCCTGGTTATGAGCATTTTCCATGAAACTCTTACCACCTTCTGAGCCTTAAAGAAAAGATAGTGTCATCCTGATTATTTGTACTCCACAAATGGAAATTTGGGTACATGATATACAGTATTCTTTTTTACAATAACATTAATAGCTCATATCTGTTTTTATATTAATGTTGGTAATTACTTTAATACTATATAAGTTATTCATATTAATATGTCTGCTGTTGGATGTTCTTTTTAAAAATCACTTTCAAGCTGTTAAAAGGGGCTCCTTTGACATGGCATCTGCTCTGATTAAACACAACACCAGCCTTGACCAACCGTGTGTCAAGCAATGGTCAGCAATGCATGAAGCAGCCAAGCAAGGCAGAAAAGATATCATATCTCTGCTACTAAACCACGGAGGCAATGTCCACCTGAGAGATGGATTTGGAGTCACACCACTAGGCATTGCTGCAGAGCATGGTCATTGTGATGTTTTAGAACATCTAATCCACAAAGGTATGTGAAAAAGAATTACCACTTGCCTTGTGTCTTTCCTGCCTCTGGGACTCTCTTGTGCTCCAGTCCTCTTGGGCTCCTCTTTCAGCCATGAGTGTAACTGAGCATGAGGCTCTCACACTTATCCCCCGCTTCTGCCATAAACCCCTATTCCGCCGCTTAAATAAGCCTGGTATATTGAAACCTATCTATCTAAGAGCTCTACTCCGATTGTTCTGTCTAGAAACAGCCTGGTTTCCACCCAGGTCTCACCTGATATTTTCACCTACCTTGAATTCCTCTTTTCCCACATCCCAATATAATAATGTATCTCAAAGAGGATGAAAAATTAGGTTTAACTATAATTCCTCTATCATTTCATTTTTCAGTTTAGTCAGTTGTGAAGGCCTAAAAGATCTCTTCTGTCTTCACCTTGCTATTTAGCCATCATCCTTGGCATCTCTCACATCCTCTTTGGACCAGAGCTTTCATATCCTCATGATTCTCCAGATTTTCAGTCTCCCTATCTGTGCTAAACACTGCAATTAAGGATCTTCCTCAACTTGCATTGTTTTTTTGATCTTATGCGTCACTATTCCTATCTTGTATCCTCATATTCTAGCCAAAACAGGCTATCAGTATTCCCCAGTATACCTGATATACCTTGCCCTCCCCTGGAATACATTTCAGTAAAACTCAAAGTCAGTTCCTTGCAACACTTCCTCTCTAAATTCTACCTTAATTGTTCTCCAACAAAATGTAACCTTCCCCTGCTTTAAACCTTTAAAATGTTTTATGTAACTATATAACCAGAGTTAAGACACCTAATTCCTAAACTGGTTTCTACTACCTTCCTATCCCTTTCTCTTATGGAGGAAATAAAAATATACCTAACAGGGCATCTCCCTATACACCATGCTGCTCATGAGGGGCATCATCTGTGAGTAATATGTTCTAGGATGATCATATGCAACATCACTCATTCAAAATGTTAAAAATTCATCTAATATTGTTTCCTCGATGGTATACGAGGGCTAGGATGATCACATAATCCCCCAAGAACTACCTATGGGGAACAAGCCAATGTTTTTTTTTAAATGTCTCAATATAACCTCATTTATACATCGACAAATGCATATGAAGTAATATGCACTAGTCCCCTACAGATGCAGATATGTAGACGCATAGAAGTAAACTGCTGGCCTTAAACAAATGCAGCCCTCTTGCCCTTGCACTATGTTTCCTAGTACTGATGTTGCTGGAGTGTCATACAATTTAGGTTCTCTGATGATATTTTATTTCATTTCCCCATTAAAATTAATAGTCAAATTTAATTCATTTTAGGGTCACACATACTGTTCTTACACACTGTGCAGTCAATAAATATTTGTTGAAGTAGATAGAGTGTTAATTAATGTTACTAATTTTTCAAAAAGTCTAATGATTTCTTTTTTCCGGAAGCATTTGTCCATTGTGGAAATTAATTTATTAGTTTAATTTTAAGTTCTAACCAGAAAGAAAGCAACAGATTGTTTCTAAAGGGATGATCTTAACAGTGCTGTTCAGTCACCCTGTACCACATGTTTGTACTGCCAGGTGGTGATGTGTTTGCTTTGGCGGATGATGGGGCATCAGTATTGTTTGAAGCAGCAGGAGGTGGTAATCCTGACTGCATTGCTCTCCTGCTGGAATATGGAGGGAGTGGAAATGTACCTAATCGAGCGGGGCATCTCCCCATACACCGAGCTGCCTATGAGGGACATTATCTGTGAGTAATACATCATGAGGTGATAACTTTACACTAAAAATGCAAACCTGGGTGTACAGTATAATCACACACCTTTCTATATATGATCTTGCCCAAACAGGCAAAATGTTCACAAAGTTTGTATTTAAATGCTTAGAAGTTGTTTGATTTTCTTCTTTCTTGTTATGTTCTTGTACTTGAACAAAATGAATTGATACTACTTTAACAGTGAAAAGAAATGCTCTTTTATTCTCTTTTAGATGGAATAAGTTATAATTGAGAATTTTGTACAAGCTGCTCAAGAGTGTCTGTTTAAAAATATGGTAACAAAAGGCTACGGAGTTTCTAAAAATTTGCCCTTGACAAAGGACTAAAATTTGTAACAGTATTATAAATTATTCTATTTCCTAGCATCTCCAGGATATTATGGTATAAAGGTAAATGTATTCTTGAATAGAAAATTTCATTATAAGGTTGGATTTATTTTTTGCAAACAACTAGTTGAATGTATTTTTAAATCATGTGTTATCAACACACCAGTGTAAGTCTAGAATCACTATAATAAATACCCACCATAAGAGGTAGTTTTAGGCAATTAGATATATTTCATAACTTCAAAAATTTGAAGTGATTATGTGTTATCATTTTCAGTGCCCACATTGGCTAAGACGCTAATGACTCATAATTGATGCTAAGTGACATGTTGTTAAAGTTTACCTGGATTTACTCCCAGTGTTCATAAATTCACACGTGGTAGCGCTGAATTAGGCTCAAGAGATCAAGTTATCCTTGCTTATGGCTCTTATGCATGTTTACTTGATTAGTGAGGTGTGAAATTCACAACTATTCATCACATGTACTTAGAAACGTAAGCTGTGGTCAGTTATTTCAATGAGACTGATATAAGTTTGATGGAACAATAAAGACTCTTCTTTTGGCTAAAAATTAAATTGCAAGTTATATGGAAAGAGGACAGATATATACAGGATATAGACCTGACCAATATTAAATAATGGAATGCTAATGAGTCAGTTAATAAGGAATAATTAATATGAATCTTAAGGTCAAAATTCTAGTCTCTGCATGTAACTTTGTGTTCTTAGTCAAGTCATTTTCACCCTGGAGATTTTATTCTTCTTTTAAGAAAAAGGATTATTGTAAATGTTACCCAAGTTTGACTCCAGCCCTCACTTCCAATGATGTTCTAATAGTCAAGATTATGAAGATTTATTTTATGCCACCAGAGGAGCTTTTCAAAATATTTCTATTAAACAATATCAGCTGCTAGTAAAAATTGTATCATTCAGAGAAGAATTGGAAGGTGGGGAGGAGTCCTTAGGAGTCATATTTAAAGCCAAACATATAAGATCCAGCATGTCCCTGAGAGTATTTAAAAGAAGAAGATAATCAAAGCTAAACTACATTACACCCAACTAAATACCAGGAGTTTGATGGACAAAGGTTAAATATTTCAGTATAAGTATAAGCAAAAAAAAATTAAGATAAACTAAACAAATCACATTTAGTTTTCTAGTGAGGAAAACTATTTAGTTTCTTAATTTTCTTTATGCCACATGGATATGTGAGAGACTTTTGTTGTTTGTTTGTTTGTTTGTTTGTTTTAGTGCACTGAAATATCTTATCCCAGTAACATCCAAAAATGCAATTCGGAAAAGTGGACTAACTCCAGTTCACTCTGCAGCAGATGGACAGAATTCACAGTGTCTCGAACTGCTCATTGAAAGTGGTTTCGATGTCAACACCTTACTCGCTGACCACATTTCCCAGAGCTATGATGACAAGAGGAAGACTGCACTGTACTTTGCCGTTTCTAATAATGACATCCACTGCACAGAAATCCTTCTGGCTGCAGGTGCAGACCCAAATCTGGATCCCCTCAACTGTCTGCTTGTGGCAGTGAGGGCCAATAATCATGAAATTGTCCGGCTGCTTCTCTCACGTGGAGCCAATGTCAATTGCTATTTTATGCATGTGAATGACACTCATTTTCCCAGTGCCATTCAGTATGCCTTAAACGATGAGGTTATGCTGAGGCTGTTGCTGAATAATGGCTATCAAGTGCAGATGTGCTTTGACTGCATGCATGGGGACATATTCGGAAATTCATTTGTGTGGTCAGAGATGGAGGAAGAGGTCATGCCAGGATGGACATCTTGTGTAATAAAAGATAACCCGGTGAGTTGCATCTTTTTCTCCTGCATATTAAGTCATTATCCTAATTTTTATATTTGCCTCAAGAAATTTTTTTTTCCCTTTTGATTTCTTTATGTACCCAATGGTTGCTCAGGAGCATGTGGTTTCAGGCCCAGGTATTTTTAAAGTTCCAAAAGTTCTTCTTCTTGTTGATCTTTAGTTCTACATCATTGTAATCAGAAAAGACACTTGACATAATTTTAACTTGCTTAAATTTGTTAAGGCTTGGAGTGGGGATTTAGTGCAGTGGCACCGCACCTGCCTTGCAAGTGCAAGGTCCTGAGTTTGATCACCAGTACCAAAAAAAAAAAAAAAATTTTGTTAAGGCTTATTTTGTGGCCTTATCTATACTCTATCCTGGAGGATGTTTCATGTGCTGTTTGGAGGAGTTTGTATTTTGCAGCCTATCTCATAAACTTTCACTCACCTAGGGATGTTATAAGAAAAAAATCAATTTTAAGTTTTATTCATTCTTGATTTTCTTTTGTTTGTTTGTTTGTTTGTTGTCAGCTTTAATTGAGTTTATTGGTACATTTTAGGGATACGATACAGTTACATTCATTGTTGAGATCTTGTACCTCTACATGACAAGTCTTGATTCTCATTTTTTTCCCCTTACCTCTGCCCTCCCTTCACCCCCTCCTCCCCTCCCCATCTACAAACACTTTATTTTCATCTTTTCATTCTCTCACATTTTTTTCTTTTCCCTTTTTACTCTTCCCCTACCCATCCCACCTTCCCCACACCTTTAGCTCCTTTCTTCCCATTTCTAAATGTCAGTAATCTTATTAGGATCTTATGCATTATTGCAGATTATTCACACCAGGGGAACTATTCGGTATTTACACATGTGTGACTTATTTATTTCACTTAGGAGTATATCTTCAATATGTATCCATTTTCCTATGAATGAATCTATTTTCTCGTTCTTTATGGCTGAGTAATATTCCATTTTATAGAAAAACCACATCTTCTTTATCCAGTTTCCAACGGATGGGCAAATGGGCTGTTTCCAAGATTTAGCTATTACAAACTGTGCCCTTTTGTTTGCAATCCATTTTATAAAAACCACATCTTCTTTATCCAGTTTCCAACGGATGGGCAAATGGGCTGTTTCCAAGATTTAGCTATTACAAACTGTGCCCTTTTGTTTGCAATATGAAGACAGAAGTATAAGGTTAGCCAAGAAAATATATTGCTTGCTTTTTTTAAACTTAGAAACAAAATATAGACTATAAAAATATATGAAATTAATCACTTAACGCTTATTTGGTGGAAAATTGGTGCCAGATAGAGAAAAACATTATTCTTCCAAATTGTGATAATTATAGTCACAGAAAAGCCTTGCCAGTTTCCAGGGTTAGTAGTCACAGAAACAAGCAAACAAATTATTTTTCATTTTTGGTCATAACTAGTAGTGACTTTATTTCCTATAAAAAGACAGAGAGTATTGTTTCCTAATAAAACTGAGTGCTGCATATGCGTGATATATTAAGAATACTACTAAATTAAATTCAATTTTCTCAGTTCTGTGAGTTTATTACAGTTCCTTGGATGAAGCACCTGGTAGGCAGCGTTATTCGTGTATTAATCGATTACATGAATTATGTCCCTCTGTGTTCCAAGCTGAAGTCTGCACTAGAAGTACAGAGAGAATGGCCAGAGATACGCCAAATATTGGGTAAAAACAAATTTTTTGCCTATAATTTTTTATTAAAATGTACACAAGGAAAGTTTCTTAACATCTGATACTTTTTTGTGCTTCTTCACTCTCTATTTAGAATTATCTGGGCTATTTTAAATTTTATCATTAACATTTCTTTGTTATAAGAAAGAAATTTTGAGATTTCCTTCACATTTTCCAACCCTTGATTTGTATAGTAATACTATGGCTTTGTTAATGTTCTGGCTGGGACTCATTTTAACCATTAACTTCCATACTACTGTTAATATGTAGACTACAATCTCCATGTGGGCTTAGGCTGGTTATGTTTCTTTTTGTATTCTTGAGGTTTAGTAAATGCCTAGTGAGTAGTAAATATTCAATAAATACTGAAAGACTAAATGAAAAAATGGAAAAGTTTGGGTGCTCTTTAGGACATGCTTTCTCTCAGATCTTTGAGAAATTCCTACCATCAAAGTCTTGTGTAATAGGCAAGTCATTTTGTATTCTCTAGGTGAAAGTCTCACTATAATCAGGAAAGTGGATCATATGAAAATTTTATGAGAACTTGGGGTGTAGCTCAGTGGTAAAGCACTGTTATAACATGTGCAATACCCTGTGTTTGATCCCTTGAACTATAAAAATTAAAATTAAAAGTTTATTAAAAATAAATTTTGAATTATTCTAAATCAAGTAGAACCTAGAAAAAAGTCATAGATTAGAGGTGTTTTCTATTCAAATTACAAGTTTAAGAAAGTGAAATTCCAAAACCTACTTGGATATCAATTTCATAGAGTTTAAAAATGCACCATAGAACATTACATGACATTTAAATGATCTGACACTTGTATCTAAAGCAACCTTCTGGAATTAGTTTTATGCTGAAAGAAACTTTCAGCAAGTAAAATGGAAATCTTAAGAGGTTTGATGAGTCATGCAGTACTGTGAAGATAGAAGCTCTAGAATCACATATATCTAGAATAGGAAGAAATTTTGGCCTTGCTTATGAGCAGAATTGATAGCTTATTTTGTCCATATGTGATTGAAGGGTGTGATATGTTCATGGGAACAAGCAACAGTTTATTATATTATTTTTGTTTCTCCAAGTAGAGGAGTTTTTATTTTCTGTAACAAAAACCAAGATAATCATACTAACTGTGTGACTAAGCAAATTAGTCATCCTTCTTACACCTTGGTTTTCCCACTGCAAAGTGGAGCTAGTGTAGCTTTTACCTCGTAATGGAGCTGTGAGGATTTATGAGGATCTACCTCATAGTGCTGTGTAGCTCAGTGGTAGAGCACTTGCTGACCATGCTTGAGGCCCTGGGTTTTGTTTTATCCCCAGAATAGGGAAAGGGAGAGATAGAGAGAAAGAGAATGTGTAATGTACTTAGCATAGTGTCTACAGTATTAAAAATACATAATAAATGTAGATATTTTCACAACTAAATTATTACAAATAAAAGGCTAAAGAGAGTTACAAAACAGTCTAAACCCTATGCATTCTTAAAACTGACCTCTTGGATCACCTTTTGTGGACTGAAGCCCTCATTGGAAGTAAATTCAAAACCAAGCAGGACAGGAACAAGAAAGAGTCTATATGAAAAAAATTGGGTGGCAAACAGGAGCTGAAGAACTCAAGGAACAAGTCACCCAATTTTGGATCACCAAAGAAAAAAAAAAGAATAGAACACTGTAAACTTAGAAGAGCTATCTTGACCATTTTTCTAAAAATTTAAGAAAACTAAATTCACATAAAAATTATCAACAAAAAAGTAGCACAGTCAAATCTCATTATAGCTAGAAGAAAAAAATGAAGGAACAAAATAATATCCTCACAGACAAAATATACCATAAAAACAAAACCACTAAACTGATCAGAATTAAAACATTCTAATTTCAAAATGAGCTAAGGTAAATAAGAAAATGGTTCACGAGAAAACAAAACAGGTTAAAATTAGGAAAATTCAAGAATGAAGTAATAGATCAGAGGAGAGTATTTTAAAAAACAGAAAATAATATTTTCAAGTATGAATACTAAACTACAAGAAAATCAAGAATTAATAACCCAATACATAAAGCCTTAAGAGACATAAAAGATGAAATGAAAAAATTTAAAAATAAAGAAGTGAAGAAATAGATAAAATAATTTGAAAGACTGATAAATATTGAAGAGAAACAATAAAGAGTCAACATATGAATTATATATAGGATTCCTTGAAAAGAAAAGCCATATCCACGAAACCAAATAAATATATATATTTTTTAACTTCAAGAAAAAAAAACCTTCCATAATAAAAAAGAAAGATTTGAAACTCCAAATTCCCCATATGCTTTTAGCAGATAGGTCAGAAGAACAAATAATATGAGGAAAAAAATTTGGATTAATATATATTAATGTTAAACTTTTAACAGCACATTATGCTAAAAAATATGGAATAACATACTTAATACTACTCAGAGAAGAAGTATCAAGCTACAGATGCAAAACAGCAAAACTGACTTTAAGATGGCTATGCAGGCAAGTGATTTTCAGCATGCAAGAACTCAAGAAATATTTGTTCCTAGGATTTCCCATTGAAGAATCCACTAAGAAACAATCTTTAGTAACCCAAAATGACTAGAAAGATATCAACATAAAGGCCACTATTAAATAGGACTAACATTGAACATAATACCAACACTGAGAGTTAAAAAGTAGAAGATATAATAAATATGCACTGGTTATATTCTCTGGTAACACAGACACGGTACAAAGATTTACTGTTAAGAATTGACAAATAAAATCAAATAATATTTACTAATGTATATTCACTTTAAATATTCTAAAATATTGCTAGTTACATAATTTTAATGTTGTTATGCTGAGAATGAAGGCTATTCTAATTCCATTATTCTTCATATCCATGAGATTCAGTGTCATCCATGTAAAAGAAAGGAAATACACTTGCAAGACTGAAGCTGTTAAAGAAAACCTGTAGTTTTAATTTAAACCGAAAGTATCAATATGAATTTATAAGTTATTTTACCTTGAAAGTATGTGTGTTCATGTGTATAACTATGCACACAAGCACATGTGTGTGTCAGCTGACACAAAGGCTTAGAAATAGTAATGAACTCAGTAGCAGTGAACACCTGAACATACAGATTTTGGCTTAGAATGCCAATTTCTCCAAAAGAAATTTTTGAAAAGTTTTGGAGAAATTGGTGAGCCCAGATCTGGGGACTAAAATATGCAAGAGGAACCTAGAACGCCTTTAATACCAGGCAGCAAAAATGCTCTCAAAGATTACAAATATCATGTCAAAGGAATTCAGGATCCAGTTTGAAAATACTCTCACTGGCCAAAATTTAAGTTTCAAAAGGATAATCATTCCAATTAGTTGAAACATACCCAACGTATTTTAAAAACCATTTTAAAAACCTTCAAAGGATGACAGGAAATCAATTTATCTGAGAAAATATTTAAGCTGTATTTCTCCCTTATTTGTATGACTCATGACACTAGTAACCAAGATGCAAATGAGTAAAAACATTCTTTTGTAAAAGTCTTTCAAATAATAAATGAAAAAGAAATTATATGAATAGATATGACGGTTTTGTTGCCCTCCCCAGTAAACTAAGGGATATAGACATTGAACATTAATGGCTGTTAATGTCACACTCTGTGGTCTCCAAAGAAAGAACATAGTTTTGCTGAAGAAATCAAACCTGACTCTAGTCAAATCTCTGAATCCAGGATCAACTTTCAAGAAATAGAGAAGACAGTGCAGAACATGACCTGCACAATGAGCACAGTTCAGGTGGTGGGAAAATGCATTATTTGGGTTCTTCAAAGATTAGAAGGATGAAAATGGAATGGAGAGCCTGCAGATTAAAGGAGACTTAAAGGACACATCAAAAAATTTTAAGAAGCTGTTGTCAGTGCTATAATGTAGGGATAGTACATTTAGAGGTAAAACTCTAAAGGGAACAAGTGTTATACAAGTCAGAATAGCAGCTACTTGCCTGGGAAGGAAGAGGGACATTAGAAAGATTATGGAGGAAATTCTAGGGTGGCCAGCAAAGTTTTATTTCAAAACCTGGGAGGCAATAAAAAGATCACTTACAATAACTTATGGAACTATTTGTGTGAATTGTTTCTCTGTATTTATCTTATTTTTCAATACAAAGTTGAAGCATTTTTGAGATTGCAAAGAGAAAAGGTCACTGAGGTTTAGATAAATTTAATTTCCCAGAGTTATAGCCATAGCCAAATAACAAAGCAAAGATTTGAACCTTATCTGTCTTATTTCAAAATACAGGCTCCTTCTGCAATATTACTGTATTTGTAGTCCAGACAGCATAAATTTTGCTTCTGAATGGAATTCATTGTCCATATGTTTTTATTGCAAAAGAATCCTAGATTCCAACTACTCTAAAAAGACATTCTAAGTAAGAATATAGCCAGGAAGGTGTTTGTTGTTGAAATCATGTATTACTGGTTGCTATGATCCTACTGAACCACTGGATGTCAGAATTCCTCCAGATATAAGTAAGTCAGTGTAATGTTCAGGAAAACATAATGGCTGTTTTTTATAAAGATTTTTTTTTTCCTGTCTATTTGGTAATAATCACTTTGCCTCAATAATTTTTGGAAAATGTTGTTTTAAATTTGAAAAATAATTTGCATGCTTGTCATCTCAAATGTAACAACTAAAATCGGTGTTATTGAACTGCATGACAGTTAATATTTATTGAAAGGCAACCATGTAAAAAAAGCACTTTTCTACTAGTTTACATAAATTAATCTTCAAATGACCCTGTGAGGCAGGTCCTATTATTATCCACAACTCATAGTTCGGAATGTTAAAATCACAGAGATTAAGTAACTTGCTCATGGTCACATGAATACTAAGTCAAAAACCCATGATTTTAATCCAAGCTGAGTCTAGAGTCTGTATCTAAGCCTGTGTTCTGTGCTGCCCTCTCACGAGTTCATTTTCTGGATCTTATACTAGTACTGAAATTATAAGATAAAGTAAGAATTAAAAATAATGGCTAACATCAGATATTTGAAGAATCATTAAAAAAGACACTGGAAACAAACCTCAGGTTGAACCATGAATGATTTTTGGAGTTATTTGTATTGATGTTTCCCAGATTGGTAGGAGAGGGAGGAAGTAAAGAAATATACCTGTGTAGCATTCAGTTCTAAATTTTTAGACTTAAACAGGAGAAAATATGAGCATGTACTTTCTTAAGTTCACTTATTCATTTAATGGATTTTAGTGAATACCCACCCGGAGCAAGATTCTGCTCCTGGCCCAGAGACAGACTAAGTCTCTGTGAGCATAGAGCTTACCTTCTCAGAGAGCATTCTAGGATACTTAGCTGCAATATGAATTTCAGTCCAAATCACCACACTATTCATGCCATTCTGAAAGAGTCTAGTTTTCCAGTCAATCCACTAATATTATTCATAATGTTTTCTTGTTCTCCCATTCATTTTAGAGAATCCTTGTTCTTTAAAGCATTTGTGTCGATTAAAAATTCGAAGACTTATGGGACTCCAGCGACTCTGCCAGCCAGCCTCTGTAGAGAAGCTACCTTTACCACCAGCTATTCAAAGATACCTATTATTTAAAGAGTATGATCTCTATGGACGAGAGCTAAGATTGCCATAACTTAAAAATAATATTTTAAAATGCAATTTCTAAAAGATTTTAAAACGTGATTCCTTTAAAATGTGAGAATTTATTGGAATCATTTTACATCCTTAAGTATCTTTAAATCCATTGACAATCTTGTAGGTATGTTGTGTCCTTATGGGAATGTTAAAGACATTGACATTTTTTTTTAAAAGAGAGTTAGTGTCTTGTACTGTACTTCAGTTTCTATTGATTGTCTTCACTTGCTACAACTCTTCAAATTCTCCCTATCAACTGGTTCTTACAATATCCATAATCAACTTTATACATTTAAGAAAGCTAATAACCACTTTCTTTTTTGTTTTTCTGTTTTGTTTTGTTTCTTTTTTGAGACAGGGTCTCACTACGTAGTTGAGACTGACCTGTAACTCACTATGTAGCCCAGGCTGGTCTCAAACTCACAGTGATCTTCCTGCCTCACCCTCTCAAGTGCTTGGATTACAGGCATGTGCCACCACGCCCGGCTTAATAACCACTTTCTTAAACCCACAGATCCCACTAGTTGTGGAGCCCATTTCTCCTCCGTCTTTGAAAAATCAGTCTGTGAAAGAGTTCTGTCCAGCCTGTGTTCACACTCCATGGCCTTGTTTCTGCCACCTCCACAGCTCTTTGCAAGGATCCCGATATCCTCCTTGTTGCTAAATCAAATGTATGCCTCTCAGCCCTCTTCTAGTTGATGCCTACAGTACCTGGCCCTGTTGACAGATGCCTGCTTGAAGCCACACTTCCTTCCTTGGTTGTCTTTACACAGATTCCTTGTTTTCTTGGCTCTGCTCCTACCTTCTTGGCTGCTCCATCTTCTTTCACATTGCACATCTCCAGTCAGCCCTTTAGTAACATGTCTTCCCTGGGAAACTTCATCTATTGCACAATTGCAGTCATTTTGCTGGTAACCCCAAGACTTATATCCAACCCTAACTCTTGATCTCAGGTGCTGGAGACCTATATAGACAAATGGCCCAATGGACATTTGAATACAAAGACACCTCTAATTCAGCATGTCCCCCGGTGAGCTATGTTCCTCCACAGAAAGGCCCTCTTACATTTTTCTATTTCAATAGTTAGAACAATGATTAATTCCTTTGCCAAAAGTAAAAGACTGGATGTCAGCATTGACCACCCCATTTCCTCATCCATTACAACAAATCACGAATCCCACTAAGTTTGAGTCCTGACATCATCTTTTTTTGCTCAGTCTCATCAGTTTGATCGTAAGCCTGATTATGATCTTCCTGTTTCCCGGAATGATACAGTGTCACTTATCTGCCTCACTTTCCAGCTGTCTTGCCCTATCCCACTTGTACTTTACACGCGGCACTCCGTAATTATCTGTTATAAATGTAAGTAGAGTTTAAAGTCATTAAAGTCGTTCCCATTGCTCATAGGATAAAGTCCAAAGTTTTCACATGGCTCTTAGTGATCTAACTCCTGCCTTCCTCCTTATCTTTATCATTTGATGGCTCTCTGTCCTTCCTCCCCATTAATTATATGCCTTCCAGAGGAATATTCTTTTAACAGTGATTCCAAGACTTGAAACTTTTATACATAAGTAGTTTTTACTTTATTAATTCTAAAATCAGGTCATCTATTTTTTAAATGCTAGAAAAGATGTTGTAAACTGAGTCATTAAAATTGAATGACTTTATGGCTGGGGATTTAGCTGAGCAGCTCGGTGGCCTGCCTTGCAAGTGCAAGGACCCAAGTTAAATCCCTGGTACAAAAAAAAAAAAAAAAAAAAAAAAAA